GGTAGCTCCATCAGTTCATGCTCCTCCTGCTGCTGTGGAGCTTTCTCCATCTGGAATCTTCTCCTCCTCCAACAGGAACAAAGCAAAGCTGCAGCAGAACATCAGCAGAGTCAGTCCACCTCCAGAACACCAGAACGTCTTCATGTCCAGCACCACACTGACCTGCTGTTAGACTGAGCAGGAGGCTGAGGACCACAGCTGAGCGGTAGATGGAGAAGGTCAACCTCTCAGCTTCACAGTCACAGGGGGGAGCGGTGGGGGCGACTTCACAGTCACAGGGGGGAGCGGTGGGGGCAACCACAGGGACGGAGGGACTGGTGGACAGAACAGCTGGAAGAAGACAGAGGGGACACTAAGTTCTGTTCATTCAGCTTCTAGATGCAGATGTTCTGTGAAGAAACCAGGAGAGACCAGCTTCTATTGGAGGTCTGAGGAGACAGAAGATATCAGGACTTTAGAACCATCAGCAGGTCCAGACCAACTGGACCAACACCAGACAGGAAGTGACATCAGAGCAGAGTTTGGAGGATAAAGGTCACCGTTTCTTCAGTTTCAGTGTCCTTTAGCTCCACCATTCACTGAATGTTTGGAAGGTTTATTTATTTAAATCTTCATAAGAACTCAGGTTATAATGCGCCTGTCCCCCAGAGGGCGCCATACCACAGGAAGCTCCCTTCTTTATGACGCTGCTTCCTCATCAGAAGCTGGAGGTTCCTGACCTTCAGCTGCAGGTCAGTCACAGACTTTCATCACATCAGTAAAGGAGTCTGCAGCCAAAGCAGAATGAAGGTCTGTCTGAATAGAGCTGACAGGAAGGAAGCAGGTTTATTCCTATTATAGACTCAAAGAGTCATCCTGAGGTTCCTACCCACCACTAGGAGCTTTACAGTTTCCCACAATCCTTTGCAGGACAGTTAATGTAGGTACGGCTGACCCAGAGCTTGAGATTTCCTTAATGACATGAAGCCTTTCTATTGAGCCGAAACTACAGGAACAGGAACTAAAGGAACTACAGGAACAGGAACTACAGGCACTAAAGGAACTACAGGAACAGGAACTACAGGCACAAGAACTACAAGAAAAAGAACTAATGCAACAGGCAGTAAAGAAACAACAACTACAGGAAAATAAACTACAGGGACATGAACTAAAGAAACAGGAACTATGTGAACAGGAACTACACAAACTACAGGAACAGGAACTAGAGGAACAGGAACTACGGGAACAGGAACTACAGGAACAGAAATTACAGGACTTACACGAACTGCAGGACTTACAGGAACTACAGGAACAGGAACTAATGGAACAAGAACTACTGGAACAGGAACTATGGGAAAATGAAATAAAAGAGTAGGAACTAAAACAACAGTAACTGCAAGAACAGTGGAATTACAGGAACATGCACTCCAGGAAAAGGAACTACAGAAACCGGAACTAAAGGAACTACAGAAACCGGAACTAAAGGAACTACAGCAACAGTGACTATGGGAACGGAAACATTCACCTCCTTCTGGGGTTGTTCTCTAGACAGATCTGGGCGGTTTGTAGACCAGGAAGAGAAGGTAGAACAGAATCATCATCATCATCATCATCATCATCATCATCATCATCATCATCATCATCATCATCATCATCATCATCATCATTATCATTCAGAACCTGCAGCGACCGAAGAGAGCCTTAGAGGAAGATCCCAGAACACCACAGAGCCCTGCCGCCCCCCCCAACACACCATCCAGAGTTATGATGTCATTTCCTGTTGTTTTATCAACTTGAACCCACAGTCTGAATGTTCTAGACTTTAACAGGTTTAACGGATCAGAACCAGGTGGTTCCTACCTGGGATGAGGATGAAAGTCCCTCCACTGAAGTCGTTCTTCTTCTCCCCACAGAAATACCTCCTGCTGTCCTCAGCAGAGAAGTTCTGGATCACCAGCTGGTTTCTAATCATCTGATATTTGGTCTTAAAGTCCAGAGAGTCGTAGCTGGACGTCTTTAGAGAGAAGATCTGTCCGATTCTTATTGTGAACTGGTTCTGGACCTCCATGAACCAGTGGATGTCACCATCGTTAATGGAGCAGGTTAGAGTAACATCCTGACCCAGAGAGACATTAATATTCACCTGGTTCTGAGCCTCTGAACCGAGCAGAACCAGAACCAGAACCAGAACCATCCCCAGCAGCTCCATCAGCAGGTTCTAGCAGATCTGGACCAAGTCGTCAGAAAGCAGCGCAGCTCTGCTGGTGGCGGTGAAACTGATCTACTTCCTGTCAGAGCAGAGGATGGTTTTCAGAAACCAGCAGAACCACAGAGCCTCTCAGAGACTCAGCAGCAGGTGAGCAGTTAGCAGGCAGGTGGATACCTGACCTCACATCAGTTCTAAGCTGGAGAAACCAGTGGAAGCTGGTCTCAGAAGGTCAGGAGCTTATTCTCCATCATCATCAGACAGCTACTGTTCTCCTGAAGCTGCTGAGATGTTGGAGCATCAGAGAACCGTCAGATGTTCATCAGGCTCTGAAGAAATGTGCTGATAAAAAGGAGAACTGAACGGCCAAAGATCTGAGAAGAATCACCATGAAGCTCCCAGGAACCCATCCTGGTTCTATACCTGCAACCTACCTGGAGAACCTAGAAGTCCAAGATGTTCCGTCCCAGAGACCTGGTCTAGCTAGGGAAGGCTGAACCCGACCACTGCTGAACAGAGGAACACCTGAGGATGGATCCTTCATGAACTACAGCGACTCTAGATGGACCAGATGGAACCATGACTGGACC